GACTATACTTCTGGATATCTTCATTTTTATCATTTTACTTCTTGTTACAGGGATTTTGTTATATGAATCACATTCTCTCACAGAACTCCTAGTTCATTCACTTCTCATTAGAGTATGTGTGTGCTAGAAGGGGGTGTTTTATGAGGAGGTGGAACCTTCCATAATTAAAAAAAAGACTGCCATGTTTTAAGATGATCATGTGGGACAGGGTTTGTAAAGAAATTTGCACAGTGACTAAGACATGGTAAACATGTGATGAATATTATCATATACTTATTTTATATAATAAACCTGTGAATAACAAAACATTTCTAAAATCAAGGCCAAAGAAGGACATGTGAAGAACCTTCAGATCACTAGTGATCTTTACAGAATCACTGCACCAAAGCAGATTTAAACTGTTTTGAAAAGTTGACAACACTAGTGCAAGGAAGTAAAGTTATCTAAGTCCTGGCCCGTGCTGCTCAGTGGAAAGACCATCAGCCCATGCGCTGAAGGTTTTCCAGTTCGATTCCTGGTCAACAACATATACACCTGGCTTGTGGTTCACTCCTGCCCCCCGTAAGGGGGTGTGCTGGAAGCAACCAGTGGATGTTTCTCCCTCTCTCTCTTTTCTCCTCCTCGGTCACTCCCTCCTACACTCTCTGAAAGGCAAAGGAAAAAATATCCTCAGGTGAGGATTAACAAAAACAACAAAAAAGTTATCATGCAAAAGATACAGGCAAAAATTCAACTCATATCAGTTATTTTTTTACTTCTCAAAATTCCTAGTACTAGTAAAAATGTTGGTGATGGATTAGTTCCACAATGATCAAATGAAGAGGTGCCAAGCAGTGTTTGTTTAGAAAGTCCATCTGCTTCAAGCAAATATTAAAACATACAACCTGAAGCAGTTACAGATAGGGTGACAGAAGTGTGAAAAGACAAAAATATTTCTTTAAAACCAATGGTGAAAATAAGAATGTTCACACTATGTAGTTCAATTACATATATTCTTCATCAAATATTAATAAGTAATGCTAGGCAGTTGCCAGGGGCTGGAGAGAGGACATGGGGAGTTAAGTGTTTAATGGATATGGAGTTTCTGTTTTATAAGATGAACAGAGTTATGGAGATGAATGGTGGTTATGGCTGCACAGTAATGTTAATGTATTTAATTATCGCTGAACTGTCCACCTGAATAATGTTAAGTTGGCAAATTTTATGTTACGCACATTTTACCAATTTTAAAAAGTTAAAGTAATCATAGAAAGATCCTTAAAATTGCTTCAAGTAAATGAGACCCAAGAAATATAACAAATGTTTATTTTCTAACCTGAGATAACTAAAAAGGAAAAAGAGATTCAGAGGTTTGCTACGACAGTCAAACTCAAACTATTAAGACAATAATTTCAGAGCTTCACACCTTTCCACATTAAAGTCTAAGTAACACTGAATTTGTCTCAAATGAATTTATTCCATAGTCATTTGAGTCGATAACCCTATAGTATTATTACTATTATTTTCCAGACAAGGAAACTGACACCAGGCATGACAAGTTTAAGTAATTTGTCCAAGATCACTTTGCTAATATAAAAGAGGTGAGATTCAAACCCAAGCCATCTAGCCTCCACTTATGCTACTTCTCTAATGGGGGGGAGGGGGGGAATCTACAACGTGAAGTCCAAATTAAGGTTTTCAAACAGTAAAAAGTTTTTAACTATCATTAAGTCTGACTATCCATTTTCTCCTTAATGTTTTTTTCTAGATATACTCTGCTTGTTTTTCCATGTGTAATTCAACTGAAAAATACAGTAAGTAAAAAAATCTGAAGCCAGAGGTTTAGGGCTCTAAGTAGTGTTAGACTGCATTTGATACTTCCATTGGAAATGTTAAAATTCTTAATTAGCTTCATTTAGTTGTCTCAGGTAAGGTATGCATGCCAAAGGTAGAAAGATTTCTATTATAGACTATCTGAACAACCCTTAAAGGAAAAGGGGATAGGGTTACAAAAGGGTGAGAGTTCAAACACACACATGTCAATTCATAGAAACATGCAAGATGACATCCACTTAAAGTACCAAGGTAATGATATCCTAGGAATATTTAATATGAACTAAGGAGCTGAATTTTAACATTTAAATTTATATTGACTTTTCTTTGGAAAGCTGAAGGCACTTATATGCATTTTTTAAACACCGTGTAACAGGTAACTGCAAAAATAAGTCACCCAAGTACAGAATGTAAAAGGGACATTCAGTTTTCATATGAAAAACAACTAGGACAAAAAAAGTACAAGCAAAAAATAAAAATCCTGTTAATCACCAGTAGAGTTAAGAAAAAATTTTATTGACTGTCATAATCACATCCCCTATCTTCTAATCCTTTATTCTCTAACCTGACCATCTTATAAAGAAGAGTCCAACAAAATAATGACTGTACCCAGCACTAATTAGCCAAAGACAAGAAAAGTTACACACCTGTACAAAACTCGTATTTCTTTTTAATCCTTATCCGAAAATGTTTATTATTTTGAGAGAGAGAGAGAGAGAGAGAAACATCAATTGGTTGCCTCCCATAAGCATCTGGACTGGGGTCAAACCCAGAACTTAGATATGTGCCCTGAACTGGGAACCCAAACTAAAACCTTTTGGTTTATGGAAGGACACTCCAACCAACTGAGCCACTCTGCCAGGGCCAAAACTCATATTTTATCTCCTGTTTTGTGTACAAATTAGAATTCCAAATAATCAAAGGTGACTTTGCTAACCAGAAAGCATTGAAATTCCTCAAGTACAACCAAGACTACCTGATACCCTGGTTAACTTCTGACCATTAATTAATAAATGACCCCAAACCCCCAAAAGGTTATGTATGCATCCCATAATCACTATGCTACAACTATTATATCTTTTCAGTTTAAAAGAAAATAAGTAAATGTTGTACTCTGTGCCTTTCAACGGGCAGATTAAATTATTTTCAAGCAAGCTCTTGCCTCCATGGATAGGGCCTACTATAGGATGCAGAACGCCTGGGTGAGGCAGACCAGAGGGCCCAGAACTGACACCTCAGAGTCAGGTGGCCCTCTCCAACCATCAGGCACTGGTCCTTGCACAGGCTACCTGGGTACCCGCTTTAAGCTCACAGACACACTAGAAAGAGATATAGAAACATCAACGAGGAGAGAGAATCATTGATTGGCTACCACCTGCATGTGCCCCACTGGGGATGAAGCGCTCAACCCACACTGAGCCACTCCTGCCAGTTCTCTTCTCCATATTTATGAGTATTTGTTTTGTTTGTTCATTTATTTTGTTCGTTAAATTTCACACCTAAGTGAAAAGTATGGTATTTATTTTTTTCTCTGCTAACTTATTTCACTTAGTATAATACCTTCTAGGCCCGTGTGTGTGTGTGTGTGTGTGTGTGTGTGTGTGTATACACACACACACACACACACACACACGGACATACCATATGTAACACAGGGTATCACATGCCCACACTAGGTACTATTCGGACACCAAACACAACACAGGGCACCATGGTACCACGTGCACACTGGGCACCATGTCCACACTGAGTATCACGAACACGGCATACAACACAGCGGGCACCCTGGACACACCGGGCATGACGAGCAAGACGTGTTAACACCACCAGGTGCCATGCACAATCGGGGACTCTGCGTTCGTGCCCACACTCATTACCACCAGGCACACCCCCGGGGCCAGGCCCACACGGCAAAGCGCCTTCACAGCTGGTCCAGGAGAGGCGTGGGGGGCAGTCCACGCGCAACCTGGGTCCCCGCGACGCTCCAGGAGCCCCCCGCCCGGCACAGGCTCTCTGGACGCCCCTAGAAGCGGTGAACCCCCTCTTTCCCCCTCCACCCCCCCGCAAGCAGTCCCGGGGCCTGAAGGGCCTGCAGAGGCGGCGAACGCAGCGCTGACCCCAACCGCGGGGGACGCGGACTCAGCCTCGCCTGGATCTCGGGGGACCACCAGCCCGGCCTCGGACGTGGCTCCCAAAACACGAACGGCGCCTGCAAACGCCCCCTCCCGCCCTCCTCGCCCTCACAGGGCCGCGTCCTGAGGACCTCAAAGCGCGGCCGCGGGCCCCAAGGCCTGGCCGCTCGAGGAGGGAGGACCAGGAGGGCGACGCTCAGCCGACATCCCGGCTTCCCCGCCCGACTAGGCCCCGCGCCGTCTCCTCGCTCCGGGCCTTCCCCCCGGGCCTTCCCTCCCGGCCCCCCGCAGGCGGAGGGGCGCCGGCGGGACCCCCGCAGGCCCGGGCCCGCCGCACACAAAGCTGCGCGAGCGACTCGGGCCCATTGGCGAGAGGGCGAGCGGCGCTCACACCCGCCCGGAGCGCGGAGAGGCTGCAGCCCGGCCCGGGCTCCACAAAGCTCGGCGCCGACGCCACGGCCGCCCCCGCCCGCCCGCCCGCGCCCCGATCCCCGCGCCCCGGCCCCCGTGCCAGCCGCACAGCCTTCCTACCATTATGCTCCGGCCCAGGCCTCCGCCGCGGCGCCCGCCGCCCTCCCCTCCGCACCGGCCCCGCCGCCGCCGCCGCCTCCCCGCGGGTCTGGGCCGCGGGCGCGGGGGGGCGGGAAAGGGGGGCCGCCGGCCTCCGCCTCCGCCTCCGCCCCCGCGGACTCGCCCTCCCGGCTCTCCCCCGCCCTCCGCCCCGGCTCCGCGGGCCCAGCCTCCGGCCGGCACTCCCCGCCGCCCTCCTTCCGCGCGCCCGGCCTTCCCCTCCCCACGGCGTCTCCCCGGCTCCGCGGGCCGGGCCTCCCCGGCGTCGCCCCGCCGCCGCCCTCCTCCCCGGTTCCCAGGGCCAGGCCGGGCCGCGCGCGCTCCCCGGCGCCTCCCGCCGCCGCCGCCGGCCGCCCGGCGCTTCAGGGCGCCATGTTTACAGCCCGCACCGCGGCGAGCGCGAGCCGGGCCCGGGAGGCGCGGCGGCCGGGGGGTGCCGGCAGGGCCAGGGTTGGGGGGACGCGGAGGCCCCGCCGCCGCACTTACGGGGTCTCCTTGCCGAGCGGCGGGCCCGGGCGGGGCGGGAAGTTGGGGCGCCGCCGCCGCCGGGAAAGTTTCCGTCCTGCGAGGACGCGGCGCTGCTCACATGGCGGCGTGTGCGCGGGCGGGCGGCCGCTCCGGGCCGCCTCCTCCGCCTCCGCCCGCCCCCGGGCTTTATTGTGCGGCGCGGGCCGCGCGGCGCGCTGGGCTCGGGCTCCCTCCCCGGGGCGGCCGGCGGCGCGGTGCACGCCCACACCCACCTTCCCTGCGTCCGGTCCGCCGCGCCGCCGCCGGGGTCGGCTCCAGCATATTCTCCGGCGCCGCACGGGCGCTCGGCGGCCCCACACGTGGAGGCGACGTACGTGCCGGCGCGCGGGCGCGGAGCGGGCGGCGCACAAAGGTCCCGGCCGCATTGTTCCCGCGGCCGCCCCGGCCCGGGGCTTGTTTCACCGCGTGCAGCGAGCCGGACTGCGGAGCCTTTGCGCGAGGCATTCATTTTTTTTGTGGTGGTGGTGGTTGTTGCGTTAACCACATTGGGAAAGTGGTTTTAGGATCTTTGCAATTCTGTCCTCAAAGAGGATGGCGGGGCTAAGTCCCCGTTCTGTACACACACGCACATAGGACTTCGAAAGAGAACAGGGACCACCCATTGTCCGTGAGACAAAAACACTGCAAATGTGCGCCGAAAGGACGAGGCTGGCTTTCTTAGTTTGTCCTTGGAGATTTAACCAGAGGGGATCCCCCAATATATGGTTTAAGAAAGTCTCAGAGATAAGCCTACTTTTGCAGGTTCTACACATTTCCACCACCTCCCTCTCAACAAAACAAAACAAAAACACCTTTCTTTCTCCACTAGGAGTTGGGATGGAAAGCCGATTATCAGCCAAAATTTCTTGCTCTGATTCTCACGGGGCATAGGTACCTGAAAATCACTGGGAAGAGTCTGTCCACGTAATGTTGGGATTATAATCCAATTTATCGATCTTTATTTTTTTTTTCATAGCTGGTCTCTAAGACTCAGAATTTAGAAATAATGGGTGATGTTTGAATAGGTGTTCCATGGTGTACACCAGTCAAAAAAAAAAAAAAGCAGTTATTCAGCCATCGATAGCCCTAGTTCTGATACATCACAAAGAGTTTTTGGTTATCTCAAGGAACATCACAAAATTATTTTATTTTTTCAGATAAATAAAATACAGCAGATGGATTAAAGGGTTTCAGATAAAATCAAGCTAGATAGGTCTGATTTGAGTGCTGGACCAGGAATTCTAACAATAAACAGCTTTAAGCACATCACCCTTTTTTAAAGTCGTCTATAAAACAAGACTGTCTGGCTCCACATGATTTCACTGTGGCAACATCGTCTATGCATAAAAGAAAGCTTACCTTTTAGGGGAAAAGTGACTGCATAACTCTATCTCAGGAAGATGCAAAGTTTGTCCCCTGCTTCCAGCACATACTTCCCCTACTCATTCTTCAGTTTCTGTTCACGTGTTACTCTTTTCCAAAAAGGACCTTTGTGAGCCCCCATTGTAAATTGGCCCTGTCTGTTTTTCTCCATAACACAAAATTGTTTGTAATGATATGTTTACTTTAGCGTTTAGAAACTGATGGGAGAGTTTGTTCTGCATAGCATGTCCAGGCTTCCAATAAACGTGTTAAATGGAGAAATGCCACAGATAAAATTGGTGGTCTCATTGTACTTGACAGAGCACTGTCTAGATATTAGTGTTTTGCCCTTAAATAACCCAATACCCGTAGCTCTGTCACTCAAGCATTGTAGTCCTTCTAAATGCATATTAATTAAAACCACATGTTAATTAGATGATGCTATACTTAGGCTAATAGTTCAAGGCTGTGGAGTAAAGATCTTAGAAATGGCAGTTCCCCAAGCCCTGGGAGAAGCCATGTAATGTTCTTCCTGCTCGCTGGGTGCGTGTGTGTGGGTGTGTTCATAAAACAGAAGAGGTATACATACCTGAGTGTTTTTGAAGCACATTAGTGCACTTTCCTCCTTTGCACATCCATGCATGAAGTCCCTAGGGCATTCATGTACCTTGGAGGGCATTAGGATGGTCAGCGCAAGAATGTACATAGAAGGAAAATTAATATTAAGGTGCTGACACTCCAAATAGGAAATTTTAATCTGCAAGACAATTGGATTGCAAACATAGCTTTGTTGAGAGATAACACAATTCTCTAAATTATTTTCTTTTTCATTTTCAACGTATTTAGAAACAGGTCTGGTGTAGCAGACCACTGACCTTCAGCACTCAGGATCGGACTGAGGATAAAGTTAAAGAAGAAAGGAGACAGAAAGCTGGTAGTGAGGTGTGTAACTACCCATGGTTAGGCACTTTTGCCAAATACTTGGAACTCAGAAATATTTGGCATTCAGAACTAGTTGATGAATTAACGGATGCTGCTCATCACAATGTTATGTAATATCAACAAAATCAAATGGAAATAAGATAAAAATCCAACATTAGAGACTGACAGTCGAAAAGGAATATTAAATTACATATGCATATGATTTCCATTTTGTTAAATATTATTAGGAAGAAAATGACAACAATGTATATTTCTTTGGGTTACAGGCATTTTTTAAAAAAAATCTTTGTTCATAATCAGGTAAAAGATTACTTACTAGTAATTAGCCTACAAGACTGGTTGTTTCCTGTATACAGAACGGTACCATGTAGGTATCCCTTTCTTGAAGGAATATATAACTATAAAATTAAGTCATATAGAATCTTATTTTCCAAAGACTTCTTGATTTGGTATATAGAGAGATTTATGGCTGCAATCTATACATAGTTCACATCCCAAAATTTATATAAAAAGCCCCAAAATATAACTTTTGGGCAATCAAAGCTAATAAAAATAAATGTAAGCTATATGTAGGTAGTTGTCATAGTAGCAGCTCACCACACACATACACACACACACACTCGCACTCACACACTCGCACAAATGTTTACAAATGTATTACTTATCAATGAGGATAAACTGTCCTGTAAAGTGAATTTAAGTAATTATTACCTTCCATTCACTATATTGTCACAAAAACAAGCAATGAAATCTTATCTGTATACTCCTTGTACAAAACAGATAAAGATCAAGGGAGTGTCCTTCAGAGACAGCGCCTGTGACCTCGGAGAAACCCACGGCTCCGTAGCACCCACTCTGGAATCCACCATTCCAAAACAGGAGAATCAGGAAGTAAAGCTGTGTCTGTGTGCCATACTATAAAACGCATAGTTTTGCGCTGTAAGATATTACCACAAATGGCTGTCGGTGAGTGTGAATCCAAAGGTGCCCCCGTGGACTTACACTCACATGCAGGGGCATCCTCTTCCCTCATTCACTTTCAAATGTGTTTCCTGATGTGGGAGAGCAGGAGGGATTCAAACTCATATCCATGGGGATGTGCGGCCCAGTATGAATGTCCTCTCTTATGTGACAGCCCCCCCCCCTTCACTCACTCTTTCTCTCCCCCCCCCTCTCTCTCTCTCACACACACACACACACACACACACACACACACACAGAATAAAAAACCCTGTTTAATAAAAGAAAGAGATTGAAGTGAGCAGTCACTACAGAGTGCATAGTGATAATGCCTCAGAGGTGGATAAAATGTTTCCTAGGACTGCACTTCTGCTTTACAGATTTCTTTTGATTTTATTCCATATCTTTTTTACTTCTGATTAGATTTCCCATAATCTTTTGTATTAGATATTGGTATTTTTAGGTATGAATATAGTTTCCCCCTATTTTCCCTAAAGATAAATTGCTATTCTGGTCTTAAATTGCCATTAATTAGTTTAGCTAGTGTGGCTTAGCTTCCAAGTGTCCAGTCCCCTGTGGATGATGAAAAATCATGTTTTGAAGAACGTTGTGGACCAAACCTTGTAAGGTCAATGGCCCGTTCACCAAAGCTGCCATCCTTTGTGGCTAAGCCTGAAGCACGCACTGTGGCACATTTTAGTTTTAAAAATGCTCCCAGTATAAAGTAAGAGCTCTCTTTTAAGGGAGTGCTGGAGGAAGGCCTGGGCCTGGGCAGGAGGCGCAGGAGGAGCAGGCGCGACTCCCCCACTGCCTGCGTGTCTCCCTCGGACAGTGCTCCTCAGGCAGGCCCGGTCCTCCTGCCCAGACCAGGCATTTCTCCAGCACTCCCTGCCCGGGACTCCTTCAACTCGCCCCTGGTTTTGTCTGTGAATGTACAGTGCCTATGGGAAGGATGACCTACCACACCTGGTAATATGTTCAGAACACTTATTTTATTTTATTTTCCTTTAAAATAAGCCTTCACTGAATATATCAACAAGGTACTGTATTGTGAAGAGTGAATTTGTAGTTAACAAAGTGTGTGATAGGTCTCTTGCAGTCCCTTGTCGGCAAGAACGCATGAGAACAGAAGCAAATCAACATATGATTCAAACAATAAGTCATCATCAGGGGCTTCAGAACGTTTAAAGGAAAGCAACTCATCGTACCAGACAAAAAGGGTGTTTCGAGAGTGTGTCTTTTTCCCTCCACCATGGGATCCCGCCCTTTCCCTGTCTCTCTTCTCTAGCGCTGCACAGCAGAAGAGCAGGGGCTTTGGCATAGACGGAGCATCTGAGTTCAGACTCCAGCTCACTATGAGACCTTGAGTAAGAAGCGATTGCACCTTATGAGCCTCAACTTCCCCAGTTGTTAAGAGCATGGATTTTTGACATCAGACTGCTTGGATTAGAAATCCAACTCCAACATTCTCTGGCTTGATCTTGAATAAGTTATTTACCAATTTGTCTCAGTTTCTTCATCTTTTGTAGAGGGCTCCCTGAGAAGGCACATGGACATCCTTTAAATTGTCAGCTGAGCCGGAGGCAATGGCAGAGCCTGTGTCCCGGTTACACCCTCCCTTTCCCCCCCCCTCCCCCCCCAGGGCTTGGGGGTGTTATGGTACTTACCTTTGTTGGGGTGTCAGCAGGGGCGGGTGTAGATATGTAAATCCAGTAATGCCAGGGCTTAGTTAAGAATGTAAATAAGCTCCTTTGACCCTATAAAATAAACCTGCTGCAGCTCAGCTTCTTGCTTCCCCTCCATCAGAGAGAATGGCGCCCACCTAGCTCCCAGCTTGATGAATCTAT